GTACTGTCTGTAAGTATATCAACACACTGCCTCAGACTCAGCTAAGAAACTGCAATCAGGAGACAGCTATGTGTACTGGGGTGGAGCCCGACAGCTACCAAGATGCTGCCCATACCGGACATTTGATAGATAGACAGCTATGGCTACACTTTAAATGAGACTTGATTTGCTAAAATGTAAAAAAACATGGAAGTCAATTCATACTGCTGCTTTTAGGGTAAACTGGTTTATAACTCAGCAGCCCTTTTAAAAGGGAAAGCTGGCAAGATGATGCCTTACTGGTGTGCTTGTGTTTGGCCTTTAAACATCATCCGAAAAATGTTCTGAAACCTTTTTTTTTAAAACTTCCAAATCATAGAAATTGCTTAGGCTACAAATGGTTGGCAACTCTTGTTAGAAATGATCAGTTCTTTGTACCGGGAGACTACATGCATGCTTTTAAGCAATCGCTCGCAGATATGTGGTTTGCTGTCGTGGCATTTGCTTAATGTAGCAGTAATTGTACAGAGTACAGTTCATGGGCAGGAGACATGTCTCTTGGCTTAATCTCCTCAATGGAGACAAATTTGTACTGTGAAGAGATGATGAGTTAGTGGATTTTTTTCACTTCTTGTGACACCTTTGGAAAGTGACCTCAACAGATATTTCTTTCCAGAACAAAGATGCAATAATATACTCTAAATAGAATCATTGTCTTGCCTTTTTAACCTTTACTTTTTCATTGAGTGAAAACACAAAGATTATTGTTGTAAGTTGATTTAGATAACATATAGCATCTGCTTATTGGGTTGCAACTCTGATTTGTTATATTTATTTTAATCAAGATGAGGGATGTTTGCTCTCTAGAAACATTTTATTCCCTTTCCTCAGTGTTTTTGACACTATACTCAGGATATGCAGGTCTTGTTTTGATTTTGTTTGGATTTTCCTGAACACTGAACCTTTTTTAAACCCTCTGCCTTGCTCAGAGAGTAACCCCCAAGGGAGAATCAGCAGCCATGAACACTCAACAGATGGAGCAGATGGGCCAGTTCAAGATCACAGTCTGGGAGGAGGAGAACTTCCAGGGAAAGCGCTGTGAGTTCATGCTGGAGTGCCAGAACATCATGGAGAGGGGCTTCAACAAGATCCGCTCCATCAAGGTTGAGAATGGACCGTAAGTCCCCACTGTTGTTTTTCTTCTGGATCTCCAGCATCTTGATTTCCCTTCTGTTCAATCAATCTATCTCTGAAATCTACATGTCCCATATGTCATGGAAATCGCTTTACTTTCACGTCTTGATCTCTTCACCTCTTCTGAATTTTGTGTCAATCATGATCAGCAATTTGTCCAATTCTGTCTCTATGAGATATATTTTTTACTTTTCCTACATGTTTCAATTCGGACATCTTAGGTCAGAATTCAGTCAAGGATTTGTTAGAATCTGTAAACCCTGTCATGATTTTGTGTTGTTATTTGTGTTATTTTGTGTGTTATTGTGTTGTAAGAAGAATGACCTAGCTGCATAAACAATATTGGTGTAATACTGAGTGAGTACATTTTTACAGTATGTTGGTTGGCCAGTCACAGTATGTATTAAAATAATGTGTAATTTCTCCTGCAATTCTAATTTTATCAGCTTGAAGAAGTCTGATGAAAGCACACAGGACTCAAACACAGACTCTAATCAACAAGTAGAAAAGGCAGGGTGACAAAAACCATAAATTATAGCCTACAGTGATATTGCACTGCAAGTTAGCATGTATCATTTGCATGTGTGTGCGCATGCATCCAAGTGTAACCCTGTTGTGATATGAGTTGGCTGTGTGCAGCTGCCGGCTGTGAGCCAGAATGGCTGGCTGGCTGACTGGCGATCAGATAAAAAGCCGTGGGTGCAGCAGCAACAGCAGCAGCGGCGGTGGTGGTGGAGACAGGAGCAGCAGTATTTAATGTTTGCTTTGTGCTACCCGTGACAAAAGAAGCTGCACACTGTTTTCACTCGAGGCCATTCTGAGGGCAGTGGACTCTATTGTTTAATGAATGTGACAGTTTCAGTGTTGCAACTACTTTGCATTTAGTGGTTCCTTATTGTTACGTGTCCGTATTCTATTCATTTATTTCCTGTCTTTTCCGAAATGTAACATATTCTCTGCTCATTTAACGTCAACATTCACGTCTTTTCTTTTCTCCTTGTCTCTCTCTTCTGCATCTTCACACTGTCTAGTTGGGTGGGTTATGAGTACCCAGAGTTCCAGGGACAGCAGTTTATTCTGGAGAAGGGAGACTACCCTCGCTACGAGGCCTGGAGTGGAAACAGCAGCTACAGAACCGAGCACATGCTTTCCTTCAGACCTATCAAGTGCGCTGTAAGTTACCACATCCTTCCGTTCATCCTTTTTAATCTTTTACTTGTCAGCCTCTGCCCCACCCCTCCTTCATACAGGTCACCACCTATCTTTTCTCATCCCTCTATTCCATCTCCCTGATTTCTCATTCTCCATCTAAATATATCTAAATATTTCTACATAGCTTTCCCCAACTGCAGCAGCACCATCATGCTATCTCTCTTTTTCCGCAGAACCACAGTGACAGCAAGGTGACCATGTACGAGTGTGAGGACTTCCAGGGCCGTAAGTTTGAGATGTGTGATGACTACCCCTCCCTACAGGCCATGGGCTGGTGCAGCAAGGAGGTGCCCTCTATCAAAGTCAACTCGGGAGCGTAAGTTATACAGATGTCATTAAGATTTTGCCACAAAAAAAGCATATTTAAGTCAGGCATGCTTGGACAGGTCAACCTGTTTTCGCTTGATGTAGTTTGGAGATGTCAAATCAGCAACAAAACAGCAACAAGCAGAAGCTGATGTATAAAATCTGTTTGGCACAGGCTCTTTCCTACACTTGTAAAAAGAACTGTAGTTTCCTACACTTGTAGTACCTAAATTTGCAAAAATTATTTGGAATTAACTGGATGTCTGTAAATTATGTATTCGTTGATCTGACCTTGACCCCCCCTCTCAAATGCAGCTGGGTGGCCTACCAGTTCCCTGGTTACCGTGGCTACCAGTACATCCTGGAGAGAGACAGACACCAAGGCGAGTACAGAAACTACAACGAGTACAGCACCCAGGCTCACACCAACCAGGTGCAGTCCATCCGTAGGATCCAGCACTAGAGCCTTCATTCTGCCTGCCTGACCTAACCTGAAAGAAAAAAAACTCTCCCCAAACCCCTTCCTCAACTTGAACCCCGGACAGACCCATGGACAAACTCTTTCTATCACTCTGTGGCTCTGCATGTATGGATATCTAAGTATCTACTTCTACTGCCATGCTAAAGCATGTTCTTGAAATAGGAAATAAAGGCTTTTCTTCAAAACTAGAGACTGTTTGTCGGTATTCCTTTTTCTTTTTACAATGAAAATGATCACCCTAATTAAATAAATTTAAATAAAAACTGCAGAAAAGCAGTGATTGGCTACATTGAGCTGACAAAATCATTTTGCACCTTGGTTATGACAGTCACAGGTGCACAAGCATTGCAAAATCAGAGCCCCCCCTTTTCTCTTTTAGCTTCATAGAGCAGGCTGTTAATAGAGATAGTTTTTGCTTTGTATTTATTTAAAGGACATATTTAGCCTTTCAGTGAGCACACATGGAAAGATTTGATTCAAATCTCTCTGTTAGGCTTTAGGATGTTTACTATTGTTCTTGTCAGATTGTATTCTTATTTCCAATAAACAAGAGCACGAGAACGCATTTGTTTTTATTATTTGTTCCTTGACTGTTATAATCACATTCTGCCAAAATGGCCAGTAAATTGCGGAGCAGTATTAAAAAAAAGCTGAGAAAAAAATATATTCTGAGTAGCCATTTTTAAACCATGAACCATCTGTCTGTCTCTCTCAAACAAAACATTTGATGTGAATCATCTTTTGAAAATAGAGTCAAATTCAGGTTCTCTTGCTTGCTTTCTCTATTTGATACAGCTAAAGTGCTGTGTAGCCTTAACAACTAAAACAAAGCCAGGCCCAGAGGGACAATTATTTCACTGTAAATGCCTCAGTGAGACAAACACTCCAGCTGCTCCATGGTGCCTGCACACATGCAGCGGTCCTTATTTAAACAGTTTCAATATTCTTTATTAAGCAATTCAAAACGAGGCCGGAAGAGGTCCTCAAATGTTATGCATGTAATGTTTTTAGTTATTGATGAAAAGTTATGAACACCGTTTGAATATCGAGCTTATCAGACTAAGAATATTACCTCAAATAAAGACAATTCAATTCAAAATTAAGCTGTGCAACATAACCCACCAACTTGAATTTATGCCCCCAGTCCTTATACAGTATCTGTTGTATCCATTGTTGCTGGCCTGTGAAAACCACGTATGTCCAAAACATCAACTTTCCACGAGTCAGATTTGTCAGATGGTCCAGTGTTTTTTTAAATTATGTATTTAGCGTAAAGAAGATCTAAACCTATTAGAGAACCCTTAGTCCTTCAGTGCAACTCACCAAGTTTGGGGGTTAATGGTTTTCACAGGACTGTGATGCAATTTGGCACATTTAGTTTAACCCAAGTGAAAACCATTAACCCTTATTACATATCACAAGGGTGGTGATGTAGATGCAGTAGAGAGAACAGAGCAGTCAGGTGAGGATTTTTAAGCTGCAACTCCTGAAACCCAACATCAGACAGAGGCCTTCAGTATTTTGAACAATGTATACAACATGTCATTTATGACATAAACTCTGACTCACAAAAGAAAAATTGCTATATATCTTAGTTTCCTCACTACAGCGTTGCACACAACTTCCTTGTAAAAGTCTTGTAGCCTAGCATTATCTTGTTTATCTTATAGTCACACGCCGGGATCCTGGAGTGTGTTTACCTCCACACATACTCCTCCTGTTGGTCCAGGACGTGGGATTCCGTGTTACACACCCACGCGCCTGCACCGGCTCACAGTCCCACGCCCAAAAAAACAGGATCTTTTGATAAATGTATAATCATGTGCACACACCTTTCTCAAACATACATTCCTCTGCAGACTGATTAAAGCAGCTGCTCCGAGGCTTATAGAGGAGTGACACTTCAGTACTCTAGAGAGTTGCAACCTGAGGTTCTTTGGCTGCACAGTTCAGAGCACAAAAGGTAAGTTGATGGCTTTACAGGGGAATTTGGCAATGATTCTTGATGAGAGCTATAATTGAATGTGGTGTGGTTTAGTGAAATGAATTACAGTAGGTTTCAAAGAGGAGAAATGTGTCAGATTAAAAAGATGAAATGAACAGATTAATTATACCCATCTTGTCACAAATTGACCACAGAGGCTGATGTAGGACTTACATTTACACAACTGAAGGCTTAAATTAGGATTTTGTTCGTTAATGGGACGTGCTTTCAATTTATATAGTGATTTGCTCAAATTTTCTCCTGTAGGATAGCGATCATCAGATGCTGATGTTTCTCTCTTTAGATGTACATTCTGACCTTTATAGCCTAGATCAATAAGAAAGCAAAACAAATTGATGTGATTCAAGAATTATTAAAGAAACGGAAGAAATAAATTATATTATGGTGTTGTGTTGGTGCTTTTATGTAAATTTTTTTTTTCTTTCCGTCAGTGGTTTTCTTGCTTCGTACTGATCAGTGACCAGAGGTTACCCACCTATTTATCCACCACTGCATCAGTGGATACAGTCTAGTTTTCGAGGCTTGTTTTAAGTTGCCTGCGACTTGTACTTGGACACAGGCAGCTAAAGCAAGTCTGGGACGCCAGAGACACACCTTCAAGCCCAGCCCTGAGGAGGAAGAAACGAGGCAAATAAACTATTTGCAAGTGAATTCTGCATTGTTCAGTCACGCAAGACTTTGTCCCCTCTGTCTGTGAGGAAAAACTCTGAAATCATGTTACAGTTATGTACTGTTTTTACTGTTACTAATATAACCATCAAAACGCCTACATAGTCTGATGCAATCTGTTTTCACAAAGCCTGAAGATGTGAACATGGACGTGTATGTACAAACTGGCATACTATAACTACATAGTTGATTAAACGACACGTCCTCCAAATATGTTGCCTATTGTCTATACTGTATTTTTTTCCACAATGTGTGTTTGCATTTGCGCATGTCTGAGCTCAGTCAGGTGACACATTACAGAGCAAACATTAAAACAGAGGATGAATGATTAGCAGACCATTTACTTCAGCAATCCAAGGTATGATTTCAATTAAAGTTTCTGTAGGGTACATTTATAGTAATTTTGTTCAGATTTCTGGCTAGATTTATGTATTTATTCATTTTAAAAACTAAACTGAGTTTTGTTTTGTATTTAACAGGTTTTTTTAGTCTTAGTCTCTGTTACTTGAACAGATGATCCTCAGGCCTTTTCGAAATTTCCACCTTTTCCAAGGGGAAGCTATGAGAAACTATGTGATCTGACAGAACTGACGATAAACTGTGCTTTAGATTCCTACTGTAGAACTGATTAGCCTACTCTGTGTCTCTTTATGTGATAACACATACGTTGTATTTTCAACAAGACGAGCAACCACACAAGGTCCCGGCCGAGATTCGTCACTGTCAGAGTGTTTTCTCTTTTTATTGCTTCGATCAGATCACCTTCAGTGGAGATGCAGAGAAAAAAAAGATGGGGAGAGAAAGAGTTATGACATGTAACAAATGTCCCAGAATCAAACCAAGGACGTTGCGTTTACATAGTACGCATCTCAAAACACTACTCCTCCAGGACACCACCTCCTTTTAGGTATCCATGGACAAAACAGTCAGGGTATTTGACACATTCATAAATTACATGAATGATTTCCTTTTTAAATTAATATGTGTTGCTTTTAAACACCTCAGAGTGCTTCAGAGCAGAGAAATAGACTTTTTTAATTAGAAGGAAGTAGTCCTGGATTGATCACATTGAGCACTAATAGAGATTGTGTCATGTGTGATATAAATCATTTTAAATTCAAAACCTGTATAAAAAAATATTAAAAGGACATTTAATCAAGATGTCCTGCTATATCATCAGACTCCTGTTATGTGTATGTAATGTCAACATTATTTGCACCTAAACTGCCTGTTTGTTGTTCTACCTATAGTTGTGAAAGGGGAACATTGACACACAGTCAATGTCATGCACCCTTATAAAAAAAAGGCAATAACCACGCAGTTTTAATGACAATACTAATATTTTCAAAGTGTGTTTTGACTATATGCTGTGACAACACATTATAGAATGAGGGACCATGTTCAGCCTCTTTCTGGCAATAAAGTCATGAAGCTTCACACAGGCCACCGCCACTCAAAAACGCAAGGATTAGAAAAATATGAGCGGACATTATAACGTCAGTGAGCATCAGAAGCCATGGTTTTAAAGTTACAACCTCATCACCCTCAGATTGAGCCTATATAACCTTAAACCGACAAACAGACGGTTAGGGGAGGATGAAATGTTCTTGTTGTCTCGTGCGCACTGAAGCGTGTTCCTCAAGGTAAATATTCTTTTTCCAACATGAAATAGGTCTTTGTTGTTTGCCGAGAGGTAAAGAGGCGGAAAAGTGAGGAGGATCTGAACTGGTTTCCATGTCAAACACTTCAATTCACCATAGAAACTCAGATCTTAACGCGGAAACTTTATTAAACTGTGATGGTGGATTGATAAGGGCCGAATTTCTATCGGCCTCTTTTTATTGTGGGCACCAGGCGGGCTGACAGAGGTAAATTGCTCTTTTAATTAAAGCAATGCACCAGGGGAAATTGCTGTCTGAATATTGTCTCAGAGATGGGGGCCAGTGACAGTTGCCTGGAAACTTCAATCTGTCCACCCGCATTTATTCCAGATCACAGTTATGAGATAAAGTTTAATAAAAATCTTTTCCTCCGCCACCAACGAAATGAAATCCAACCCTTTCTGAACAACTGAACACAATGAGACAGGACTGCGGAGGAAACCTCATGTTCAACATGTATCTCTCAGGTTCGTCATTTAGTCCTGTAAAGAATGATAGAAATAGTTATAATTCTTGAAACTGCGCTGGGTGTCGTGTCTTGGTGCGGCGATGCTCCGTTTCCAGGGCAGAGCATTGTTCAGCCTTTTCAATCTGAAAGCCCGTCTGCTCTTTTGTCGGAAATCGGAAATCCTTTTTCCTGGACGCGTTTCCTGGCTTCTCGGAGAAGAGACCGCAAAGGCGACATGCTTCTTGCATTAGACTGAGACTGGATGAGGATACAATTAGGCTTTTAATCAGTTTTGAATTTTGTTCAGATTTAGCTTTTTTTTCTTTTTTTTTAACAAAAAACAAAACTAAATTTTATTTTATTTTGAATTGCACCGGTCTGGTTAATTTTACATCATCTTAGTACAGCTGTTCTCTTGTGTCTAAAAGTTAATTTTATTAAGCTAATTCAGCTTGTTGCGTGTCAGTGTGAAGCGAACGTGGTGTTGCTGGTCAGAAGATATGACAGTCATTTCTAGAAAATTGTGGAGATGAACGAAATTGTTTTCTTAACCCAGAAAAACAAGATTAGACTATAAGAGTAGCCTAAATGGCTCCCAAAAAACAGATCAGGATGGACAGGGAGCTGGTGATGCTGACAGTGTCTCTGTTTTGATTTCAGATCCAACAGAAAATCTGTTGAAAGAAAGCAAAGGAACAACTTGGGGTCCAATAAACACAGGAGTACAAAAAGGTAAGAGGATGAGCCCTAATGGCCTGCCATAATAAATATCTCGATCGCCATGTAGGGCAGTTATTTAATGTTGATTAGCGTCTTGTGATGTGAACGCGGTCGTTTAATACTCCAATATAATGTTTGAAAATATCAATCAAAAAATAAATAATACAATAGCCTAGATGTTGGGGATTATTAACCATGTAAGAAAAGCCTCTGAGGCAAGCGTGGGATTTTTTTGTGTGAGGCTGTAATATACAAAACTGACTGATTTAATAAATCTTACCATATAAATACTTTATTAATTATTATAGCCGGATTAAAATATGTTTAAAGCTCATTTAATTTGTCTTCCTGTTGTAGCCCAGGTCTAACTGGTAGCCTATTCCATCGATTCTCTGTGGTCAGCTGCATTATGCTTGCTGGCCACAGATAATACAACATTTCTTTTCAATAAATAGAGGTATTTTTGTCACCACCAAAATTATTCTGTCCCGAAATGTGTGTTATCCATCCACATAGGCGAAATGTAAAAAAAAACTAGAAAGAAATACAATTAAGAAGGCCTGCATTCAAATGAGACAAAACCAGCATGAATCCATCTGCCGTTCGTCCACAGTTCATTGTCACTGATTTAATTACACTGTGATGGAGTGCTAATAGACATTAACAACTCGCAAAGCCAGGCAGGTGTGCTGGGCAAAATACGGCAGTTTATGACGTTTCATAGGCCTATCTGACTATTATTTTTTAAATAGTTACAAAATACAAATAAGATATTAGGTCTATGATTTAATAAATTCAAGACTACCATGTTGTGTAAAAATACAGTTGGATTAAATACGATGCATTTAAACAGGATATCCAAGAAAAAAAAGAATCTGCTGAAGATGCACTTAAACATGTTATTTTATAGCCTAAATGACAGAAAACAGGTAGGCCTACATGTTAAATTAATACACATTATATCTCCAAATGTATATCGTTTTCTTGTGAGTCTGCAATTGGTGTTGCCATGGCTGACAATATATTACTTGATAAAAGTACAAATATTAAATCCCCCCAAAACGTTTTGCACAGACTGCTATGGTGCCGCAGACATCTCAATTTCATGTTGTTTCACAAAATATCACTGGTTATGTTTTACTGATTTATGAATGGAACATAACCTTGCTCCGCGCTACACTGATCAATCTACATTTACTTTAACCTCAAACCAATAGTCATTGTCTCCTCCCTGCAGGCAGCGGGCAGATTCAGCTGTGGCAGTTCCTGCTGGAGCTCCTCTCTGACAGCACCAACATGTCATGCATCGCCTGGGAGGGCACCAACGGCGAGTTCAAGCTCATCGACCCGGACGAGGTGGCTCGGCGCTGGGGAGAGCGCAAAAGCAAACCCAACATGAACTACGACAAACTGAGCCGGGCACTGCGCTACTACTACGACAAAAACATCATGACCAAAGTCCACGGCAAGCGCTACGCCTACAAGTTTGATTTTCACGGCTTGGCGCAAGTGTGCCAGCCGTCCACCACGGAGCAGGCCATCTACAAGTTTCAGGGCAACTTCTCCCCGATTCCCTTTTCCGGGATTTCCAAACTGAACCTCGTGGCTCCCAGCGTGGGGCCATCGGGTTTCTCCTACTGGCCTGGTTCACCCCCGGCGGCTCTGTATCACAGCCACAACCTGCAGCCTCCAGGCCCATTTGGCACCGTGTCTCCGTCTCACATCAGCTGTGTCAACAACATCAACAGTCTGACTAACATAAATAATCATTACAATTGACTCTCAATGCATTTTTTAGACACATTGGAAAGTTATAGACACAGCAGGTAAGACGGCAACAAACGAAGAGAGATGAGGAAGAGCCTGAAAGCTCGGTTTTGGTTACTTGCGGGTGAAAATACTGTGTTAATTTGGTTAACAATTAATGTTTTTAGACATGCACACTAACTAACGTTTCAACACTATAGGCTAGGCTATATTAAACGCGTAGTTATGGACCTGTAGTCCTGTAGATGCCGCTGAGACGACGGTTGCAAGCCAAGAAACAAATAAGAAATAGACTAATTTAGCCCCTTTTAAACTTTAAACCATGACCTCTTTTGTTCGAGCAAATTATTAAATCCATTAAGGGGCCTCATATCAAATTACACACTATGGTTTCAACGTTTACGCGCGGTATTTTAATAACAAGGCCTATATTAATTCCATATTAACCCACAAATGTCCTAATTTCAGCTACAGTCTGTTAAATTAAATCGGAAATTAACAGAGGCTTCCCTGTGGGAGACTTGTTTTCGAAATAAACAATGTATAGAACATGATTAAATACAGATTCTCTGTTTTATACCTATTTATCATCATTTTCTGTTCCTTTGCTGTCTCTCATCATCCTTCCTTGATTTATGTAATTGTTTTTACATATAGGTGGGTGTATTTGCATCCGGCTGCACCAATAAGCAGTTATTATTGGACTATTGGCGCCACCTCGTGGTTTTGGAAATGCCTGGTGCCTGTTGGCGTGATTTTTGTCTTTTACTGAATAGCGAAATATCGCCACTTGAAAACGGTCACCTGAAATATATTGTCACCATAATCACCGTTAAATCAGATCGCGCATAACCACGAAAATCAAATATATCCCACTTGCAATAAAAATGAAACCCGTACAGAGCTACATGTTTTTTATTTGTGTGAAATAGACTCTAACGTGAATAGTAACAGAAACTGTGAATTCGTGAACCACTCTGTAAATACTGTAGGGTATAGAGACAGGCTCAGGCCATCGCTGCTTTTTAGTGATTTTTGAGTGAATTACATTGCATTCATTTACACAGCTTCATAGTTAAAACAACTGTACTAATGAAAATATATTAAATGAATAAAAACAGACTGTTAATGAATAAATTACTTTGTCAGTATGTGTCTGAATCATGTTGATGCCCCTTTGCTTCAGTCCAAACACACTAAAGCCTCTAAACGCCACAGACCTAAGTGTCATTTAACATGACACATTACCATCAGTGGTCACACTACATGCTGTCAGCGTTCTTATTTGATTTTATTAAATGTTTTCACAAAATGTCTATTTTTAAATAGGTTTGTAATCATGATAGGCTACATTCTTTTAAATGATTTTAAATAAACTGATGAGGATGGCTGAAAATAGGTATGACAAGATAGGAAAGCACAGAAATGTCCACTCATGGTGGACAGTGTTGTGCAGTGTTTTGGTAATCATCATCCTATAACAAAAAACAAACAAACAAGAAAACCTATATCATTTGGTTATTTTAAGTGCAGCTGTAAATGTGCAACTGTACTAACAGAGTCTTAGCGCCTCAACCTGTTTGTCAATACGGAAAATACATATAATGATGACATATAATGCCAACCATCCATCTTATTTAAACTGTGTTTATTGTGCTGCTGAAGAGCAGACCAAATTTCCATTCACTGTAGATCACTACTGTATTCTGATACGTGTGCATCATTGAGCACACTGCAAGTGTATAAAATACAGCATAGCACACAATGTGACTCATCAAGCAACAAATCTACAGTGCAGAAGTACAAATAACAACTTAATGTGCTGTATTGCATGGGAATTTAATTAGTAGTTATAAGTTGTTATCTTGTAAACTTTTCTGTGCTTTTATTCTGTTGCTGCTGCTGCTGATATCCTGTAGCATGAGAGTTGTGGCAAAACGTGACAGTAACTTTTGTCAGCCACGCGGGGGCACCATTATTCTTTCAACATCAGAGCACAGTTTACATAACCAGGTGGTGACAGAGTTGGTCTTATACAGAACATAAAAGCATGTGCAAATAGCAGATTAACCCCAAACCTCATTTTATGACAGTCTACAGAGATTTAAGTAATCTGGACTGAGCATTATTATGACAATTGAATGGGCATGGGAGTTTTATGCCTATTACATGTACAAAAATAGTGCCTATGGGTTTTAAGGTGTACATTTACAGAAGAAACTTGTAACAGGAGAGAAGGGCCTAATGGTTGTATTGGTCATTAATTTGGTGAACATCAATCAATTGGAAGTAATACAGTATTGATAAATGCATTTTATTCTATTGCCATGTCGTGCTTGAGTAGGAACTACAGAAATCATAACTCAGAAGCATATTATGCATATGTGACTCACCAGGGGGATTAGTGGCGGCACCAGTGAGGGGGGCAGCTGTCATGGTTCTGAGGTGTTGGTGTTTTCAGTATTTCTTGTTTTACTTTGTAGTTGTTCTGTCCCTGGTGTGATGGTCTTATTTTACTTCCTGTTTTTGTGTTCACTAATTGTCTGAAGTGTTTTCATCTGTGTATCATTATGTTCACCTGTCCTGAGGTGCATCTCAAGTCTTTTACATGTCGTTCCCTCACGCCTTGATCCTCGCTTGACCCGGAAATTGTTCTGGTCCGCCTTCTTGCCGTCCCAAATCTCTCAGGGCCTTTCTCATTTCCCAATTTGTGCCTCCTCGTCTCCTTGAGCTCGCATCTCGGGTGGGAGGGACTAAGACGCGGCGTGAGGAGTCATGGAGTCATGGAGTCATGGAGTCGATCGAGGAGGCACAAATTTGGGAAATGAGAAAGGCCCTAACTTGTGTACTAAGGAGCTAGGAACCATGACTGAGGATTCACAAGGCTTTAACTGGCTGACACGCCCCCTTATTAGATATCAGTTATTGATTGGACATTGCAGCTGATCTGCCTGATTTGATGACATCAGTTTCATACTGAACTGAAACTTAACTGTATTACTCCCGAGTTTTATATTTGATGTGTTTTCTGATTCACCGTTAAGTTAAAAATCTGTAGGTCTGAACAACAAAAGGACCACAAACAATTTACTTAATTTATTAGAAAGATTTTTCCTTTCTGTTATTTCTTCCATTAACTTTTTCTATGGATATAATTAAAGTCAGAGAGAGTCGAAGAGTCTGTCTGTCAGAAATCAACACTTCGTCATCTCTATTCAGTCATGTGAGACTCATAATTCAAAAGCGTTGGCTTTGATATGAGTTACATTATTAAAATTTCCCCTGAACCATTTTGCCTAACAAATCATTTCCAATGTTCAAAAGGTACCTTTATCATATTTTGGGTTATTTAATCATCACTAAATACAGATGCATTTAATGAATAAATAAAATAAACGGATTGTGCCAGTAACCTCTGAAAGGATGCAAGGAAAGGAAGCAAGTGAGGGAAACATGGATGCAAGAGACTTGGGATGCACTCTTGGTGCATTTAGTTGGGCTGCTCCCCTCACTTGGTATGAGTTCATTGTTCATTACTGTTCCTACCAGAGTTTCATCTAATGTCTTGCGTCTCAGGACAATTCCTCTTGTTTCTTTCGTGTCGTTTGGAATTTACATTTGAGTAAAGTAAGAGATCTACGTGTGACAATAGAGACTAGTAAGAGCAGCAATAAATACTAGTAAGAGCTATTAGTGCATATGGCATCAATGGGATAAATTCCTACGGGAAGAAGAGTTAATGAATAGTGCAATCAAGAGAATTGTAAGGAGACAGAAGAAAACGCACTGGGGGGTCCCGACCCCCAGGTTAAGAACCACTGCTCTACATACACATATACACTGCTGGCATTATAGACAACTAAGCACACAAGATATTACATGTCAGCACAGTTTTTTTTGTTAATAACTTCAGGCATGTTCAGTTAATTCCTGACTCCATACTGTATAGGTAATGTTAAATAACAATGGATTTCGACTGAGTAACATATTAGCCTTCGCGTGCTAAAGTTTGCTAACTGTTAGCTACAACAGTCAGATTGAAAACACTCATTGTTTGTTTACTTTGAAAATTCCTGGGGGCACTTCTGTCCTGGTCCAGGTGTGTATGGAAAATGTGCTACACTCTAATAAAATTGTGACTACAATTACCAAAGTTAATGTAGGCTCAAATTACATATCAAATATCAAGCACAGGAGTGAATATTAACTTTAAACACCCATGAGACTGATTGGCAAACTTAGCACTCTGGGCTTGAGTACTAAACTCTGCAATTGGAAATTGGACTTTCTTGTAAATAGACCCCAGATCTTCAGATTGGCCCTACTCCACCTCCACTCTAGTGCTCAACACCAAAGCTGTGTTCTCATACCCCTTGTTCACGCTGTAGGCCTACACCCAGGACTGCTACCCCACCATGTGAATTTTGTGGATGACGCCACCTTTGGGAGGATTTCAAACAACAATGAGACTTCATATTGGGAGGAAATCGACAATCTTGCTGAGTGGTACACAGAGAGGAATCTACTGCTCAATGTCAGCAAAACCAAGGAGCTACAAAACAAAGCATTGATTTTAGGAAAAGAAGGTGAGGATACACACGCCTGTCTACAATGGTGGAACTGAGTTGGAGCAGGTGAACAGTTTCAGGTTCCTGGGAATCAGCATCACAGAAAACCTGACATGGTCATCTCACGTCTCCACGCTTGTAAAGAAAGCTCAGAAACGGCTGTAAGGAAACTGAAGACTGGAAACACCACCAACTGGCATGCGATTTGCGTCACTGTACAGACGTTCTGACAAAATGAGTTTTGAAACAATGTGTGTGTGCATGTTTGTGAAAGGGAGAGACAGAGTAGGTCCCTCATTCACAACAGTCTTAGTGTGTGTGTCCTGCATATTAACAGGGAAGAGAGGGTTTCTATTGACAACTGAATCTCTCTCAATCTCTCTCTCTCTCTCTCTCTCTCTCTGAGATTGTCAGTCTGTAAGGACTAATGACAGAGAGAGGTGTGTATCCCCGATATGCTGTTCACCCCCTGTAGACTCCTTATGATGACATAGTGGAAACTCCACAGGGATCGAGTCACTTCCATAACATTGTCACCATCACTGTCTTCACTGCCAACTGCTCTGCCACTAATCTGCTGTGCCTACTGTTGCTGCTAAGCAGCACTCATCCTCTCTCTTCTTATTGCGTAACAAACTAGGTGGGTGTTTTCAATGCAAGCCACAGGATTACCAGTGTGAATGTAGAAGACTGAGCAGTTGAGGAAAACATGAGGAGGAGGAGGAGTGGGAAAGAAGAAAAGAATATCTTACTAATGCTGCTTTGTAGCACTTGTGTTAGAAATGAAACTTGTGTCTAAAAAATTAAAAATGAATAGTGTTGGTGACTCAAATCAACAAAATGGCAACTGACTTCAGATCTGAGTATGTTCTCAGCCAATTGGACATTCTCCTTGTTTGGATATATTCAATATATATGCATACATACATACTGTGAGTAGAGAGACTGTCTGAAACCTTTTGTATTATTATTACGTTCTTGATTTCAGTTCATGTCAGTATGGTGTAAATATCAACTTAAATACAGTCAAAACTGCTAATCCATCACAGTGAACATGTAGTAATCTTTACTTGTATTGGTCGGTCATACATTGCAGTTAAAATTTTTTAAAGGTGCATACCGGTAGGTTGCTACATTTACAGGCTATGTACTATACTGTTCCAAAGGCTGTGAAGAAATGTGGACATCATGAATACGGTGGCCCTGAGAGCTCAACACACTGCAACTAAAGAAAACACAAAGAAAGCATTTACAAAGAATGTTGCCAATATCAGTTCTCTGTCCCATAGCAGTGCATTATTGGGATGTAAGGTAAGACAGTCAGTGGGCTACGTGTGGCTTTGGGAAGTGTTGCAGTCAGCGTGAGTCATTCTTCCAGCAGGAGAGAGCGATAATGAGGGCTCAGCTAAATTAGAACAACACGCCTACGTGGTGCTGAAATAGACTTGTGAATAAGAGGGAGAGAGAAAGAGGCGTGGGAAAAGGTGAGAGACTCACAGAGGTAAGGAAAAGAGAAATGGTTGAAGAGGTAAGAGATAAAGAAAACAGGGAAGAACAATTTAGACCAATGCTTTTTTAAGCCCGTTTTCAGAATCACCCACTTGTCTGGATACAAACCCAAATTCTGTGAGCTAAAAAACAACAAAAAAGCTTTTGCACTTACTGTAAAAATCCTGTCTGTCTGAAAATGTTCAGTGAACTACTAGGCGAGGCAAAAACTCAGACATTCTCAAGACATTGTGACTTTATCATTACTGGCAAAGTAATGTGTCATTTTGAGGGGTTTTCTGCATTGTTTAGCATTGGATGAATAATGAAAGAGTTTATCTTCTTTGGTTTCTTTAATCCTTGTGAAAAGTGCAAATCACCCAACCTACCTACTAGCATTAAAATGGAACGGAGCATCATACATAAGCTTTTGGAGAGCTTTTCAGTGTGACAAGACTGCATTTCCAACTGTGCGTTAAGCCATTATCAAAAATCCTTGAGTTAGAAGTGTTTCAAATGTGAAAAATATTAAAGCTGGAGCGAAGGAAATATGCAATGGTTTGCTTTTGTAATGTTAATTTGACAGTTAAGATAATGGCCTGAGATTGGAACACTTCTTTACTTCAAAATGCAGTTTCGGATTGAGGCTGTTACATAACACTAAAGGGATGAATAATCATGCAGATACGTGTGGTGTGAAGTGATTCACTGTAAAACTAAGAAGATAAAATAACAATAAACACTGTAGGTGTGTGGTGAATGAAGGAATTAGTATGTGGTTGTGAGTTTGTTTCGTATTGTATAAGAACTGACATTTAAATATTAAAGGTGTCAACATGACAGTATATAGTTACATAACATTTGCAGTATGTAACATGCCAGTAAATGACGCATATGCATCAATGAACTGAACCATGAAGTGCATTAAGATTCTTTGCCCAAGCTTCCATCCTGAGCCTGACTTCACCTTGCTATGTTACACTGCCTCTCACTGCAACTCAACGCTGGAGTAATCTAGTTAAAGGGATTAGCAGGGTGGTTATGTAGCAAGAGGACAGCAAAATAGACATAATCCCTGTAGAGTTTCCTCAGATGGTCTACATTTGGTCTTTTTCCACTCGACAAATCCTTTCCCAAGAGACGGTGAGGTAAAGTCAAGACTATATAAAGTGTAACTATTCAAATAAAGTACAATTACTACAAAAATGTACTTGAGCAAAGTACTTGAGTAAATGTACCGATCGCACTTTCCACCACTGCAACTCACTAACATAGCTTTGTTTTACACCATGTTGCAAACATTTCAATCAAGAAACTGTCAATCACAACCCCCTGGAGTATACGTCAGACTGAAGTGTGGCATTATACAACCTGACACCTGCAGACTTTAGTTCAAGGCAGAGTGAATTCAATGTGATGCATTGGCTGCAAACAAATAAAGCTAGGAGACCTTCTGCCTGACTTCAATATATTAAATAAAATAAAGAATGTGAATACAGTTGTGACTACAGCCTGCACACACTGAGCGTGTTCATATGCCCACTAATTAGTTATTATCAGGTGTTTGGTGTATTCTGGTGTCTGGTGGTAAATACCACCAGATTCAGAAACCTAGATCTGTATCCTGGATTTTAGAAACCTAAATAGAATATTCCCACATGACCCAGATACTGTGGCATGTAAACACTTTATCCAGGTTTCTGAACATTGTTTGTCTGTGACCCCAGTTGGCATTGCATAGTATGATATGATGATAAACAATGTGATGGTGAAATAAATGCTTAATGGCAGTGGAAGTGTGTGATCTGTAATGCAGAGCACAAACTGTACGGTTGCTCTTTTTTTTCATTACTGGTGATAAAAAGACAAATCCAGCAGAGTGGGAAACACAGCAGTGCCAAGGCAGAGGTAACTCAGAAAAGGCAGAGAGTGGTTGGATGTGCAGGAGTCAGAGACATGACTGCGTTGACAGACGCTCACAAACACTGTGTGCGTGTATTCTGTCAACCCACGCTCAGTCCCACACAGCTCACTTTGTCCAGCTCTCATTCACTTACCTACCCGTTACTATAGAGACACGGCGGGAGAAGAACGCAGAAAGCAGGCTGGCAGACAGATATTCAGGAGACCTGGACTGAATCTTAATAATAAAGCGCAGACTCTACACTGCACTGGGAGGCTGTTACATAACGCTGCTGCAGGTTTCTGTCATGCTGTCAACATGTAAAAAAACAAAACTATTACAAGATAGCTTTTGTCATGATTGTCACTATTATTGTCATGTGCAGCAAAAAACAGAATTTTTAAACTGAATGTTATATTATATTCTGCTTAAAACACTAGAAATTGATGAATCAAGTTGGTTGGTCAGAAGGAATACTAGTGTGTAAGTTGGCATCATTAAAAACTAACCATTCCCTTATTAAGAAGTCAACAATAGAGAATATGCAACAATGTAAAGCTAGAAACTCTGTAAAGTCATTAACATATGACAATTTGCAGTAAAACAAGTTTTTAAAAAGCTTAGTTAAAATTGCCTTTAAAACTTAATGTGGCTAAAGTTTCCCCTCAACAATGGTCATTTGTATTAGTTAGACATTAGACGGCAGTAAATAAATGAAACTGCCTATCTCTTTCATCTCTGTCCTTCTTTGTGTTCTCATTTACCCCCTTTTTGTTTTTTTCTTCTGTTTCTCTGTTCCACTTTCTTTCCACTCTCTCTACCTCTCAAACTATGTCACCCCTGTTCCCATTCTGTCGTCGTTTTTTCTCTTTTGTCACTTTCTGTCTGCCTTTCTTCGTTTTTGCTCTTTAAATAGATACTGTATGTCCCCATAAGACAGGCACACACACACATAGAGAAAGAGAGATAGTCAGAGACAGTTCTGAGACTGCAGCAGATTCTAGCCAATCACATGAAAGAACCCCCCAGCCCACGTGGCTTATTCATAAAAAAACAGGAGGAAACCCTTATCAATTCAGCTCCATTCTCTCATACAGCAGATCATCAATGTATCTATGCATTACACTATGGAAGCTACTGAAACTTCATAATCTGTTAAATTATACTGTTGAGTGGGTCCCAAGTAAGGCATATTTCAAAACATTCTCAATTCCTCAATCCCTGAGAATCATTATCAATAATATAGTGCGTAAAACCAGTTTAGCAGATTGATGCATGCAGATTCCTCCTTTTTTATTTTTATTTTTTACAATTTACTTTCTTACTGTTTGGTTTCTGTGTTCCCATTTCAGTATGTGGCCCCGATTAGAATACCCAGGACACACAGATAGAGACACCAAAAATATCCTCTATATGTGTCAGCTTACTTCACTGTGTTCAGTGTGCAACACAGGTATATCAGCTGCACCATATTCAAGGATGAAATTAAGCTGTTCTTACAGATATATGCCTGCCATATTCTTATACACCCAAAAAAAACGCCATGATGTAAAGCCTCCAAATATGTTATCTTTTTGCTCTCTTAAAATTTGTCTCAGTAAACTTTTCCATTTAAAAATACCTCTATCTGATGACTTTTAGTTTCATGGCAACCAATGAAATCCCATGAGATTCAGTCTCATGGCAACCTATGGTATCATCCCAGTAAGCATGTTTGTCATGGACTTATTTCTATTATATAACTGTGTCTCAAGAGTTCCTTGCAAATCAAAGGCTTAGTGGGTGGTGTGAGTGGATGAGAGGTTATCCAAGTTACGTACTGCTTCAAAAACATGTGCGCTCATACATTACAATATATATGGTACTACACACACACACACACACACACACACACACACACACAAACATTAAGACAAAGTGTTAAATGAACAAAACAATGAGACGAGCTCCTACATAAATTTGGATTTATTTCATCATTGTCACCATAAACAATTACTCTATTGACCTTTTATTAACACGTAGAGAGCGTGAATGCAACTGTAGCGCAACGCCACAGACAACACATACATATAAATATCACGTTCCATAGCTGACATACAGGAAAAATTAACTGTACAAAAGATCTAATTCACAGATGGTCATTCTAGAGCAAGACTTGGTGACATTAACTGCAAACGTAATGGCAAGCACTCCAGTGCCTGAAAGAAAACACTGGTACACAACCGTTATGTTATACCAATGTGCAAAACACCAAAGGTTTGTTCACAGCTGTGCAAAATAGCAGCATTATATTCCACTTTCCAAGCAATGGGTTCACAACACAACATCACAATGATCACTTAGAAGGAGTATAATACTGATTAAAAACGGTCAGGTTTGACCTACAAGCTTGATTTCAGGTTTTCACTTTTAGCTTATAGAAACTGCAATGATGTGTGCAAATAAAGTCTTCTGTCACTTAATAATGAGACCTTCACATTCAATATTTACATTATAGTACGAAGAGACGCCTATCCTGAATTGACTGCACTGAAAGTGAGCTGAACCCTGCATACCCGAAGCCCACAGCACATTCACAAGAGCAGGGCAAAAATACCATTTGACCATTAAGCTCTATTTGTTTTTGTTTTTTTGTTATACTTGAACTAAATCATGTACAGCCACTTTCAAAACAGGCAGAGACATGTAAAATAACGAGCAAAGTTAAAATATGGGATATGTACATGTAAACCATATAGTGTCAGGCCAAGCGTATTTAATATTTGGCACATATGAGATTTAAAAACGAAAATCTCGTGGAAAAACTGTACATTCCATTCAGTCTCTATATGTTGGCCTCTGCAATATATTGGAAAGCAATACACAACAGAGGCCTTGGGTTGATGGTTTGGGCCCATAGATGGCCAAACAACCATCTTTGGGCCCATTTAGTGCGGCTTATCACATTCCAAGGGGAAGATACTCCCCTCACTGATTTTACATTTCTGCCCCACTAAACCTCATATTCAAATTGATCAAACAGCTTATTTACAGGTAGGCCTAACTCACTACAGCATCAGGTTGGTAGGCATTTTTTTATTCAAGGTGAGGTGGCTTATATGAAGAAAATGGTGGTTTTAATCACACAAAAGAAGCTGAACACAGCCATATTCCACCCAGGTGTGAAGATAGCCATACACAGCATGATGTTTGTCTGCAGTATCCAGTCATGGTTTGCAGATGGAAACTAGCTTTTCACCTCTGTTACCCATAAGAGGAATATCTACAGTTATACCAAGCAATATGTTTTGTCCCCTTCAAGTAACATGCTTCTGATATCTGTGGCATGTTTAACAGCTTAACTATCGGCTAGCACATTTTTTCTTAAACACAAAATTCTGTACACCTCCACATACAAGGCTTAAGCTTATGTGCTTAAGGTGTATGGGGCTGACTTTGGTCCTCTTAAGCCACCCTTGGCTCCTGTCGTGGCCAAGTGACTCAAATAGCAGGGAGCGGAGGAGAAATGGCTGCACAGGTCAGCACCTCGGACAGCTCCGCCTCTCGACTCCTCAAAAACACAGATCTATTCTTGTCCACCTCACTGCGACATCCACTCACTTACCCAGACAATGGGCTAATCTTGAACCAAACGGGGTATTTGAGTGTCGCTTCGGGTGTGATTTGTGCCACGAAGTCAAATTCCCCCAGTCACCCAGGGGGACAAAACGAAAGAAGACAATTTACCATTGGCATGCATTTATGAAATCTCCTACTGTAGCCTAAACACCACACTGGAGTTGTGTAACATCACTAGAGAGATATTCAGCCCAGACGTGAGAAGCCTTCACTGTTGGCCTTTACATTCAAAACCACCGTCATGTGATTATGCTGCAACATTCATCTTCAAAAATAAAAACAAAAATGTGTGTGTGTGTATCGGTTGTTTCCATGTCAGCGGTCCAGGTTTGACTCGCAGGTGTCTCGCTGGTTTTTGAGGTCCTGGAAGACCTCGGTGAAAAAGTGCGGGTCCGCATTCAGCTGCAGCATTTTGGCACTCATCCTGTTGATGATCCGGAGTGAAGTCTCCCAGAAAACGTCCTTGTTCGCCTCGATCATGAACGGCTTGAGCGGGTAGGAGATCTCGTTGCCCATGTAGGAGTAGGCGAGGTAGAGGCACGTCTGGAAGGTGCCCTGCAGCTCGGCCGGGCTGTCAATGCTGTCCGCCACTGTGTCCTCGCACAGCAGGTACACGAACACCACGTTCGCCGGCGTGATGAAGCCTTGGTCCTGCCAGCCCTGGAGCAAAAGAGTCCGGTCAATATTTCGGAACCAGAGGATCACCTCTCCGCTGTTTAACGCTTTCAGTTTATAACACCTGCGGCACATGAAGTCCCCCAAACAGCGAAGCAGCTCCCCGGTTGAAGCCTGGATAACTATCCGCCTCGGTGACACCAGAGACAGGTTGCTGGGTTGCTTCTGGACCGTGGAGAGCCTCCCGTTCGGGACGGAGGCCTCCTTGTTTTGCGTGGGGACCGTGGGCACCGGGACCGGGATGGGCGCTTTGGGTTTCTTCTCTTCGGTTTGGTGCGTTTTCCTGATGTTTTCGCTGTTCAGCTGAGCCACCTGGCTGGACGGGAGTTCGCGGGCGGGCAGTGGGTTCGGGGTCACTTTTTTGGCACTCTTCTTGGCCGAATTGGCCACCAGCTTCTTCCAGGAGAGAGAGACAAACATCGAGTGTCGCTTGAGGCTCTTGTCGTTTTTGAGCCCATCTCCTGCGACCTCAGAGTCCATAATAGAGGACTTCTTCGTCGTCGGAGATATAGAGAGGACGGTCCCCATGTCTGCGAGGGAGAGAGCCGCGGCGGTATGGATGCGGAGTGCAACTTCAACGCAATCTTCTGCAGGGTGAGAGGCGGCGAGAGAACAGTCACGACACCGTTTGAAACTCCATTTACGCGTTCAGTTATTCCGTGTGGTCGCTCCTGGGCGGTAGTCTACAGGGGACGAAGATGGAGCTGGTTTTCAGAGGTGAGCTCGTATTCCAACAGATGCTGTGTCAGCGCCTCGGCAGGGAAACGCTGCGACACAATCCTACGGCTGTAACCTCAGTGAAGATTAGTCGCCCTGCGTAAATCATGGGTTTAAACGAACCAGCACACTGCAGCCACTGATGGACAGCCGAGCCAGCCAATGAAAAAGCCAATCAATGATCCAATCACTAGGGGTGTTGTTTTTAGTTCGAGGCTGACATTGATATTGCCCAGCCTATTAACTGGTTCTTTTACGTTTCCTGTGCTATTCCTCTCCACTAGTCCACTGGAAAATCACGACCAGACTATTTTCCTTATACTGCTGTTAGCGGTTAGCAATTAGATCTATAAATTGATCGAAAATGGTGAATGATGTGCTGTATTTAGGCTAGGTTCATTCAGTTTGTATCATTCAGTGTGTATTCTTATTGCTTCTTATTATTAATAGACTGGCCAGCTTGCTCTCTGTTGTTCAACACTCAGGCCTACTTATGTTCAGAACAGAGTCATCCTGCTGACATTTCACATATTTTCACATTTTAAAATCAAGCATGCATCAAAATCAGATATCTGCAGAGGAGAATGACAATATCTACAACTTTATATGTTATTTAGATTTACTTTTGCTTCCTGTGATCACTGAGCGATGTGGCTGCCCTTACATTTAAATAAATTCAAGCTAAATTGCTCCATCACTGGTTTTGTTTATGCAGTGATTTTTTGGACTGAATACTGTAGCTGTCTCACACTGCATGTCCTTAAAAAGCGTTCATGCCCAAACAAGTGAAATAATATCCTTAACCTCACTATAAAATCACCCTGTAAACACATCTGGTAATGGTGTCAAACGGGTTAGTAAACTGCATATTTGAGCCGCTTTTTTTGAACACATTTGAAACCATGCAAACCTTCTGCCCCAAAAGTTATTAGAAGAATGTTTACTTAAGAGATTTAGGAAATAAATCTGTGCCAAGTGTTTTTGCCAGGTGAACAGGTTTTTGCTGGGTGAACAAAATGTAGAATTTGAACTATGTATACTTGATGCCAGGAACATTAGCAAGTTTCAAAAGAAGAATCATCACCTGCACTTGTTTTACCATCCATCCATCGTCAACTGCTTATCCTGTGTAGAGGGGCGACCCTCTACACAGGGGGCTGGAGCCAATCTCAGCTCACATCGTGCACACCCTGGACAGGTCACCAGCACCTTTGCAGGGCCACACATAGACACACAACCACTCACAGTCACACCTAAGGACAATTTTAGAAACACCAATTAACCTAATCTGCATGTCATGTCTTTGGATGGTGAGAGGAAGCCGAAGCACCCGGAGAAAACCCACACAGACACATGCAGACTCCACAAAGAAAGGCCAGGGTAACTGGGGTTTGAACCCACAATCATCTTGCTGTGAGGCAACAGTGCGAACCACTGTTCCACTGCTCCGCCCTGCACTTGTTTTACTTGAAATACAATTACGTCAGGTTGAAATGTTTGACCTCTCTGGCCTTTGAAAAAGTACTGTTGTATGATCACTGAACTGGTGGCATGACGTAGCTTCAACAACAACACATTTAGGCTACTGAAGAGCCAGCGAGATGTCAGATCACTACTAGTAAGTTATTTTACACCTGATTGCCTGTCCACCTGCCTGTCCCTTTGGCCAGGACTTGTCTTACAAAGCTTTTATTATTAATTAAGTGTTTTGATCTATTGTGAAATCACTGGTGTCCTGCTGCACGTAATAGGTCACAGTTTAAATCAGTGCATACAAGCAGTGCATGTATGTCTGTGGAAACACCGTGGGTGATCCAATTACCCTCAGCTGAACTGGCACCCCTCCACTAAGTTACATGACTGCTGTCTGATCTTTCCATTCAGCTTTGAATGGAAATAGATACAAATAGAATTGAAAGTCTGGAGTCTTTGGAACTGGCTTTGCCCTTTTCTGAACTTTAAAGGATTACATGATGACTATAGAAATAAACATGTGCTCTAATGTCATTCTTCTTACTCAATGCCAACTATGTTTTCCATATAGATATTTACTATGCTCCATATTTTGAGATTTCCTAGGCTGTAAATGGTCCATTTATTCAATAAAGAGTTTTGTACGGGATTCCTTTTCTATGTATATGGTGAGACATAAGAAAGCTATCCAAAATATTTCTTTCTTTCTTTTTTTATGTTCCCCCCATATTTATGAGTATTTGTGAAGTCTGACTGAATTCTTTGCAATCTCCACTTGTATCTGATCACATCAGTTTGGATAGTAGATAGTGAGGAACTGTGATGCCTGAGGGGTTCAGTATCAGTTCAGCACAATACAGCTAACATATAGGGAATGTGAAATAAAATCCTGCAGCAGTCACTTGCTGTGTTAAAAAGTAAGACATGATTCAGTGAACTGTCAAGAGCTTTTATTAATACAACACTACAATCTGATGCAAGGATCATATGCACATTGTGAGGAAGGGACAGGTACAGGTCTAGTTACAAACAGGACAAATGTGGGTGGCACAATTAAATAATTAAGTTCAATCATGTGTGTTGTCCTGGTTTAGTGTAATGTAAGAGGAAGGAAGTGACGGTCTGTCACTGGAATTTCAAGTAACACAATAAATAAACTAATCTAATAATTTTTTAATTCCTCCACTTTTCCTCCACCCATAATTGTCATTATCGTCACACATCACCATTGTCCTCATCACTGTTACCATGACACATGCCCTCAGCGTGATCTAATCATCATCAACAACAATTTTGTAAATCAAAATGATGATCCAAATCAATAATGGCCTGACAGTCATCATCCATAAGCTGTCTGATACAACTGTTAAAGCTGTCAACCAAAACAACTGTGACAAGATAAAAGAGTGAAATAAGGAAGGTAATTTAAACCAATTCATGATAAAAGACAATAATCTCCCAAAACTGTAAAGTGCTACCCATTTCACACAAACTCTTTTGATCATGCCAACGTTTGATCCAACACATCATAAATCAGTGGGTAATCAAAGGAAAGTCTTTCATCGCAAATCAAACAAAATGCAACAGGATGTGGCAGAGGAATAATCTCAATGTATTAGACATGAAGCATAAAGCTTTTCTGGATCTACTATATATCACTATTTAGATACCAAAGAAAAGAGTTGAGGGATGAGAGAAAGGGGTTATTTGGCAGAACCATGGGAAGTTGAATGGTTCTTGTATCTCTTTTCTTCCTTTTTAAAACTTGAGTTGTGTTTCCGGACACTTTTACACACATTTCATTATATATCAAAACATTTTGTAAACAGGTAGTTAAGTAATTAATTTGTCTTATACAATATATATGTATATATGAAAATTAAATTAAAGTTTAAAGCTGCAATAACCTTTGGATTTAGCTGTAAACACAATATTGACACATTGGCCCCTTATAAAAGTTGTCATAGTGAATGTCTTAGCAATCGAGTGCTAATGGACTAACGCTGGGGACATGTCCCCATCACTTTTTGAAATGGTTTTGTTTAAAATATTTTAACTAAAAAATAAAAATACTTTAAGAAAGGTTTATTTGCATAATAATAATTTAAATCTATAAGAAACAAATGTGCATTGTCCAAAAAAGTAACTTAAGTTAAAAAAAAACAAGCAGCTGGTTACTGCATTATAATCTGTTATATTTTTATATTTTTGAATTGCCACCTGCCAGCTGAATTTTTTGTTTCCCTTTATATAAATACAGACATTTCCACCATAAATCGGAGTAGAAAATGTCTTCGGAATGTAGTAAATTAAGTGTTAAATGCTCCAGTTTTCTCTGGGAGAACCTCCATACTCCTGCTCCAATATTAAGCATTTCATATTTCTTTAAAATAGTGTTAAAAGTCTTCTCATTGTGTTCTCCTACATCGTCGCGTCTGATGATCCAAGTGTATCATCACACCCCTAATCTGGGCCCTTATGTCCCTAACACTTTTCAAAATTAAGTGATGCCTATGGTGAACAGTACCTAAGCCTCATTTGAAGCTCACTAGTGTGTCGGATGCCTGCAGCCAGGGCTGGACTGGTAATCTGGCATACCAGGCAAATGCCCAGTGGGCCGACGCGCCTTTGGGGCCGGTGTAACGTAAATTATTTATCATAACTGTTTTTTAAAAATCGGTTAATGACCGGCCCATAAAGCACAGAGAGCTGCCCATTGGGTAATTTTCTATACTGGGCTGGCCCAATCACATCTCTTTCTGGCCCCTGATCCCTCCCCCTCTGCTCTCTGTTTCTCACTTTGCCTGCCAATAAAAAAAGTCTTCAGACGGCTGCCGCCAAATGCATGTAAATAACCGATATGTTTGCTGACCAGGGCTGCAGTAGCTTCAACATCAGCTGCAGTACCCAACCTAAAGCAGGCACAGGCAATTGAAGGAGTAAAGGAGAGCCGTGGCCACTGCCAGGCAGAGGAGGAGGCGTGTGTTAGCGGAGCAGAGAGTCACCACAGGGCGAGAGAGCAGGAGGAGAGTGGAGGTGAAGCGGTAAGCATGGAGTAGCTCAACCTGCAGGGAGGGAGCAGGGAGAGGAGGGTCATTGACACTGGGGACAGTAGCCACCACTTTTTGAAAGTATTTGTTAAAAATGTTCTGAAAAATTGGTTGCAACAAGAAATGTTCATTAACAAATAAAAATGAGAAAGGTTTGTTTGGGGTTGCTTTAGCTCAGCTTGGCAACCAGTAAGTTGCAGTGTTGAGTCCAGCACAAACCAATGCCGAAGGGTGCCCCTCAGCATGGCCCTGAACCCTGAACTGTTCCCCAGATGCCGTACGATGGCAGCCCACTGTTCTTAAATAGGATGGGTTAAATGCAGAGAACTGATATGCCCTTTTTATACTTTGAGCACCTGCCCTTCCAAAGGTCTCTGCACGGCCCTGGACATCTGATCCATGTTTTATGTAAAAAAAAAATATTGATCAGTGCAGCATGTGTTACAAAACTAACACTGAAACACGTAAATATAATAATTTCTTTATGCAGGTGGCCATGTACTGTTGTTATATACTGTTTCATCTTGTGTTGTGCACAGACCTGGCACGTTGCACATATTTGTTGTTGATTATTGTATATTTTTATGTTGTCAGTTTATATATTTATATGTACACAGT